GCTCACAGAAACCTCCAACTCCTGGGCTCAAGCGAGTCTCCTGCCTCAGCCTCTCAAGTAGCTGGGACTACAGGCGCCCGCCACAACGCCCTGCCATTTTTTGGTTGCAGCCATCATTGTTGTTTGGCGGGCCAGGCTGGGGATTCGAACCTGCCATCTTATAAGGAGCATAAAGGGAGAGCTGTAGGGAACAAGAATCCCACTCAGTGGTGATGACATCATCTGGCCAAGGACACTGCACCTTTGTGGTAAAGCTGCTCCTGAGTCCCAGACCTGTTGGGTGCCTTTATCTCATCTAATCTCTATAACAAGCCTGAAGGCCTGGTACCACTGAAACCTGGTTGTACTGCTTACCTCAATGGGAGCTGTGATGCCTTGACACTTTCTTCCCAAACCAGAGCCTTCACGCCAGCCCATGGCTTGCAGCATCTTGTTGCCAATGTTACTGTGGTCAATGCCATCTTTGGTGGGCTGCTCATAATTCCTGCCAGTGGCAAACACATAGTTACTTAATAAATAGCCAGAGCCCCAGCTAACCAACTAAAAAATGTGCATATCACATACACGGTGCCAGCATCAAACTGCTTCTTGCGCTTGGGTTCTGGAGGTTCTGGAATACCATATTTCTCCCGTCTTTCTGCAGCACGATCTCGGTATTTCATCTACATGGGGGAAAAAAAAACATGGCTAGAATATTTAGAGACCTCAGGCCAGGTACAGTGGCTCATGCCTCTAATCCTAGCAGTTCAAGACCAGCCTGAGCAAGAGTGAGATCCTGTCTCTACCAATAATAGAAAAACTGGCTCGGTGCCTGTGGCTTAAGGCTAAGGCACCAGCCATATACACCTGAGCTGGCGGGTTCAAATCAGCCTGGGGCCTGCCAACAACAATGACAGCTGCAACCAAAAAATTGCCAGACATTGTGGCAGACGTCTGTAGTCCCAGCTACTTGGAAGGCGGAGGCAGGAGAATCATTTGAGCCCAGGAGCTGGAGGTTGCTATGAGCTGTGATGCCACAGCACTCTATCCAGGGCGACAGCTTGAGGCTCTGTCTCAAAAAAAAAGAAAAACTGAGGGAAAAGGATCATTTGAGCCCAAGAGTTGGAGGTTGCTGTAAGGCATGGCACTCCACCTAGGGTGAAAGCCCGAGACTCCGTCTCAAAAAATAAAAAAAAGACACCTAATACATTAATTCTTTAAAACTATCAAAAGTGGCTCGGTGTCTGTCGCTCAGTGGCTAGGGAGCCAGCCACATACATGGGGGCTGGTGGGTTCCAACCTGCCGCCCCCCCCCCCAGGCCTGTGAAACAACAATGACAACAACAACAACAAAATAGCTGGGTTTTGTGGCAGGCAACTATAGTCTCAGTTACTTGGGAGGCGGAGGCAAGGGAAGGGAATCATCTAAGCCCAAGAGTTTGAGGTTACTGTAAGCTGTGATGCCAAGTTACTCTACCAAGGGTGACAAAGTGAGACTGTCTCCAAAACAAAACCAAACAAACAAAAAAAACTTCACAAAGTTCATTTATTTATTTCCCTCCCTGAGTTTAAGGGATCCTCCTGCCTCAGTTTCCCAGTGTCAGGATTACAGGTGTGAGCTACTGCACATAGCCTCTCGATCTACATTTAAAACTCTGACTGCCTGGCCCCCAGCCTGTTTTGACAACCATAAGCACCGTTTGCTCATTACTGATGTCATAGGCTTTTTCTTCCTCTGCTCCTCCATCTGCTCACCAAGCCCTTCCTACTCCTTCCTTCCGTATCACCTGCATTCACTTCACACCCTGCTTTCCCTGGGCCAAATTTGAAGCCACCCGTGTTGCCCACGAAGGCTTCGTTGGCCAGGCAAAACAAGAGCATTCTCTCCTCAACAAAATCCAGTGGGCAGTGCCTGTGGCTCATTGGGTAGGGCACTAGCTCCATATACCAAAGGTGGTGGGTTCAAACCTGGCCCTGGGGCTCGGCGCCTATAGCTCAACCGGCTAAGGCGCCAGCCAC